CAGCTGAGAAAACAGTGCAGCAGGAAGGACCCGGACAGGAGCGGAGTCAGGTACAAAACAAGAGCCGATGGGGGCAGCATGGCTGGGTCAGCAGGTTCTCCCTGCCAACCACTGGGCCTCAAGGAGGCGGGCAGGGAAAGCAATGCGGATGTAAAACACGGGCTGAAGGTCATTGCCCTGTCATGTCACACGGTCTGAAGAGCAGGCTTCACTGGCATCCCGTTGGCAAGACAGTCAAGGGTCCTCCTCAGTCCCAGGACAAGGTCGACCCCGATTTGTAATCCATGGGGGGTCACGCCAGGTCAGTCGCCGCCCCGGCATGCTCACCTGCCTCTTCTTCTCTTGTGCTGTTCACCCTCCTCTCCCTGCCTCCCAAAGGGCACCTCTGGTCCTCAGCGTGAGTGCCTACATGCGCAAGAAAGGTTTACAAGAGCACAAGTAGCTCTAGTCTATACGTCTCTAAAATTGGTTACATAAATGTCTAGCCGAGATTTTGATTACACACACACACACTCATTGCCCTCGAGTCAACGTCAGAGCATAGTGACCCTCTAGGAGAGGGTAGATCTGCTCCCGTGGGTTTCTGAGACTAACTCTTTACTGGAGTAGGGAGCCTCATCTCTCTCCTGCAGAGCATCTGGTGGTTCACACCACGGGCCTAGCTTTAAGGCTCACTGTATAAACACAACACCCCACCAGGATTCTCAAGATGCGGGCGGTCCCTCTACTCTGAAGGAGCCCTAGTGGGCAGTGGTTAAGTCTCAGCTGCTCTCCACGAAGTCCGCAGCGCTTCCAGCCCAGCAGCTGCCCTGTGGCAGAAGAACGAGGCTGTCTGTTCTGGACAGATTCCAGCCCCTGAAGCCCCAGGGCGCTGTTCCACTCTGTCGCTGCGTTTTGTTTATTTCTCATTCCGATTCTTCAGGAGGCAGAGCATCATGAAAATTGATAAGAGATTAAGATTTGGGATCATTTTCCAAGTCTCACATCATTTCTGTTCATTCCAAGCAGTCTCGTAAACTACATCTTGCGGTTTGAGGGTAAAATCTGTGTCTGACCTTGATTAGAGCTCCAGGAAACAGCTCTGGGCAGGCACTGCTAGAAGCCATTGTAATGAATAATAATACGTGACATTTACCAAGAACCCAACATGTTCCTGAATCTGGGCTCAGTGCCTTTATTTGCATGACCTGATCTCATCCCTCACCAGCGTCTGTGCAGGAGAGAGACGTGGCAGCCTGCTTCCAGCCTGGGAAACCCTATGGGGCAGGACGACTTGTGCATACAGTCCTAATGGGTAGAAATCCACTCCCTGGAAAAAAGTGCATAACTCCCATAAGAACTCCAGAACATAGAAGGAGGGATTGGCCCCTTTTCAGAGATGAGGCTGAGGCTGAAGGATCTGTGTAAACAGCAGAACTCACAAGCAGTGATCTTTCTACATAAGCAGACTGGTTGCACATACATCCCTGGCCCCATCCAACCTCCAGCCTCCCCAGTCTGGACACGTGCGCGCGCGCGGCCTCTTGTCCACTGGTTCTCAGCTCAAGGAGCCCTCTGGTCAGCGGCTGGCTCCCCTGCCCACATCACACGCAAACCACAGACTAGGGAGAGGCAACCTACCCAGAGGCAGTCAGGGGTATCTGGGGAGAGCCCAGGGGGTCTGCCGCAGGTGGCCCACCGTTTTCTACGCTCTGAAGTGACTTTACAAGGAGCAGCCGGGGGAATGCCCTCACTCACCCTTTCTATCTCCTGGAGATACAGGAGGGCAATGTCCCCGGCTTTTTCGTAACACGTGATGACGTCCTGTTCCCGGTCCACGTGGAGGTTACTGGTGGAGGAGGAAATAGGCAACTTCTCTAAACAAAGTCCTAAAAGACACAAGACATAAGAACTGGGTGAGAATGCTGACGCTGCTTTTAGTTGACATTTGCTCTCGTTGCTTTATCTCCTGCTTCTCTCTAATTGCCTTCCCCTCCGTGCAAGTTACCGGTCTCTCCTCCAGTTAGAGAGTCAGCGGGCCGGAGAGTGGTCGCAGGAGATGATAGGCTGTCAGGAAGCAAACCCTCCACCCTCTCTCTGGGGGCAACAAAGCAGCTCCGCGCGGAGACCCAAGAGAGACGCACTTGACCTTACAGGACAAAGAGATCCCTGAATCTACAATAAGCGCCGTTTGACTGCAAGATCCACTGCAGCAGAACTCCACCAGGGCCTCATTCAGACCTGAGAAAGGCTTTCATTCAAATATGAACCAACATCTTAAAAAATAATTCATTAAAAAAAAAAAGCAAAGCCAGGCTCACGGCAAAATACTAGCAAAAGGAATAACTCCTACCTCAAAATGTACACTTAATCAACTGGATCTAAGAGCTTTTTGTTTTTGTTTTTTTTTGGATCTAAGAGTTTTTAAGTGCTCTGAAGAGTCTCTGTGCCCAGGAACCTCCTCCAGCGACAGGTCGACTTCCCACCTTTGGTTTCCCGAAGAAGGACAGCATGGAGATTAACTCCTACTGCCAGGCCTGGGAAACACCGGAACGGCCTTTGAGCTGCAGACTGGAGACGGAAGAGAGATCTCTTGGTGAAGAGAGACTTCAGGGCTGGGGTGTGGGAAAGCCGGAGATGGGCTGGGATGACGGTGGCCCCTGACCCGAGCCACCAGCCCGGAGCAGGCCAGGCTCAGGGCCTCCCCCAGCTCACAG